ACAGGCTGACACTCTCTCCACTGAGCCAAACCGGTTAGGGCTGCCTTCCCTTTCTTTACTCCCCCCTGCCTCACTCCTCTGCCCCCTTCCCCCACCTTTACTTTCCCTTCTTTCTCCCGCTTCCTTTTCCCAGCCTGGATATTTTTAAAAATATCTTTTTCATGCCTAGTAACCCTGGCTAAAACCTCTGATACAGTGTTGACTAGAAATGGTGGAAGCTTTCAATATGGTCAGTTTAGTCTGTATATGAATCAGGGGTCATCAATAGAAAAAAGGTGTCCTACCTCTGTGTTAGAGAAGAAACACCTGCTGGTTTATAAGTTATTCTTCTACCTCCGGTGAACTGCACCAAAACTAATGTGAACGTGTGAGGATTCACCATTTTTTCTTCCCTTTCTTTACTCCCCCCTGCCTCACTCCTCTGCCCCCTTCCCCCATCTTTACTTTCCCTCCTTTCTCCCTCTTCCTTTTCCCAGCCTCTAGTTTAGGACAGTTGATTCATGTTTCATAAATATTTCATAGCAGTTAAAAACAACATATTAAAGCTTATATGCGGTTTAGGACAGTTGATTCATGTTTCACCTGGTGATTTGATGCTGAAAGGGCATGAGACCTGGTCCTTCTTTTCTCCTTTTGGAATTTTGCCATAGCTTCCATTACGGTGACAGTGACTTCTTCCCCCTGACACTCCTGGACTTGCCCCTGAAGCTGTATAAACCTCTCTGTTAGAGACGCAAGGGGCTGGGAAGTCCTCCAGGGTAGTCATTTCTTCACACATTTCCAGCTAGGGTGGCTAGTCGATGGAACTTCACTCTGATGTTATCGGACTTGGTTAGTCAGAAGCGTGGTCCAGAAATCCTTGATGGCTTTGGTTTGGAGATAGAATTAAATAGAAACAAGATCGTTTCAAATCAATAGCATGTCAGATCAGTAGCATCTCATCTGACGTCTTCCTGCTGGCTAACCATCGGCATGCGACATGAGATTGCGCTACCTCTGAATTTAGGGGTGCCCCTGGAAGTTCTTTGTGGAGTGAGCATATGTGCAGTGAAATGACATACTTATCTTCTAGATTAGAGAGTCAACACAAGAAGTGCCATAGTCGTTGTGTTAGGGTTCTCCAGAGAAACAACCAATAGGATGAGTAAGATAGAATGGCATTCATTTATTTTAGGTATAGATGGTTACTATGTATAAAGAGACTTGTGATAAAGAGCTGGTTCCTGTGATTATGGAGGCTGGCGAGTTCAGTCTGCAGGGCGGGCCTCGGACTGAGACCCTGGGTCGCTGAAGGAACAGAGGAGGTCTGGCCTCAGTCTGTTGGAGAAATTCCCTCTGCCCAGGGAGGCAGTTTTTATTTTTTATTTTTAGGTGTTCATTTTTATTTTAAAGAGGGAGAGAGGAGGAGAGAGAGAGAAACATTGATGTCAGAGAGAGACATCAATATCATGCCCTCTGTCTCCTATACACACCCCAGTCAGAGATGGAACTCGCAACCTAGGGATGTGCCCTGACCAGGAATCGAACCCACGGCCTTCCGGGGCACAGGACGACACTTAACCAACTGAGCCACACTGGCCAGGCAGGAGGCTGGTCTTTCTTATTTATTCATGCCTTTCTACTGTTTGGGTGAGGCCCGTCCACATAGGGAGGGCAATGTGCTTACTCAGAAGTTCACCAATTTAAATGTTAATCTCGTCCAAAAACACCTTCTAAGTTGACACATAAAATGAACCATCACAGCCCGATTTACTTGGAAGTCCATGATATTTGGTTGGGTCTTTTTATACTTTATTTTTAAGGGTCTCTTCGTATAACCATTTAGTTTAGCCAGAGTAACAATGGGCAGTCTTTACCCAGGGCTCCAGCTGGTCCTGTTCTTGTCAGAACTTACAGTTAGTTGATTTCCTGTGTATCCTTTGCTGTGTGTCTGGGTAAGTGGGTCTGGAAAATATTATTGACGGGTACTCTCTCCCCTGGCTGTTAAATTCCTTACAAAATTGGTTACAGAACCGAGACATTGTTGAAACGATGTGGTCTTTGGGGATATTTTCTTCTCCGAGATGGATTATGCCAGGCATGCACACAGAATAAAAATGTAAATATTCTCCACTGGAAAGCCTGCATACCACTTTATATTTAGCCTTGGGCCCCAGTAGGCAGTGAGGTCCCACAGTGACTCATGCTAACGTGCAGCCACGCCGTTCTGCCCTGGTCAGGAAAAATTTCTTTTGAGCAGACGGCCAACTGGACAGAATGCCAGAGGCCGAAATAACTCTTTACAGCGCCAGACACGAACAAGTTATTTCTTAGCAGCACATCTGACCGAAAGTGAAACATTTTCTAAACAAGTGTCTTTTCCCTCTTGGTTTACAGCAATGCATATAAATCCAAATAAATTCCATTTTTCATGGAGAGTGGGACAGCCATTGCCTTTTCTCTCCGCTCTCTCTGCAGTGAACTAACAGCCATTGTGAACGGCAGAAAGAGGTCCCATATCTCCCAGGATCCCATTCAGCAGCCAGCAGCCTGTGTTGCTGTTTGGATTGGTTTTGGGGTTCACAAGAGGGAAAGACAGGTACTTTTCCCGTTGAGGCCTCGATCTGTGTGGACGTGGCTGAGTGGCCAGCTTTGGAATTCAGCTGTTCATGGACTCGCCAGCTTCAGGACACTTCACCAGAGTTAGACCAAGGCTCTTGGAAGAACGGGGGCCGAGACGGACATGACCTCATCATCTGTTAGGCTTCCATGTATTTGTAATTGTGACATTTTATGTTGTTCTCAGGTTCTTGTTCTTCAGAAGAGTGAAGGGAAGTAGAGAGCGCCCTCGTGCCCAGAGGAGGGCTGTGCTTCTGTGGACACAGCCGGAGTGTGGGTTGGGCCCTGACGTGGTGACTTAGGCTTCCCAGAGGGGGCTGCACGTGAAAACCAGGGGGCACTGGGGACAGAGCGCAGATCTGGGCCTTTTCCAACCCACTGAATCGGAGCTTGGGGTATGTGAGCTCCAGGGGCTGAGGAGGTGGGTTAGGAAATGGCATTTTAAACGGCTTGTCTGGCGTCAGAGCCCAGACACTGGCAGAATTCCTGAAAGGTCTCTCCCAGCTGGAATAGGAAATGGCAGTTGTTGTCCACAGCTGCTAAACTGTTCCAGATCATAAAAGCGGAGGCAGACAAAGACACAGAACTTCAGAGAACAGTCTGAGGAGCTTGTGAGAGCTGGAAAGACATTGTGAGGGTTCGCGCTTCCTCTCCTGCCTTATCGTGCCCTCTGCCTGCTCCCTCCACACCCGTCCCTGTTTCCCCTGCTTCCCTGGAAGGAAGAGATGGCCGCCTGAAGCTGCCCCACCATCTGGTTATCATTCCAGAGGTTATTTTTAAAGGGCACTTACTTCCCTTGCAAACTCCTAAGGAAGGGCTTCAGGAGAACAATGCGATGGAAGCTGAGGCGTCAGGTTCTGAGTCATGTTGCCCTTTTAGTTCCAGATCCTCTTAACACCTCTGTGCTGCTGTCTCTCTTACTTCTGGATAGATTTTCATGACATGTTTCTCCTCATAAGAAAGACGACACAGAGCAGGGAAGTGGGGACTGGGGTGGGAGCTTCTGGCTTTTGGCTTTGCTCTGTGCTCAGAGACGTGAACCTGTCCAGGACCCGGTCCCCTGGCTGGGACGTGCGTGGAGTCACTCCTGCCCGGGTGGAGTGCTGTGAGACAACCCAAACAGACGTGAACCTGTCCAGGACCCGGTCCCCTGGCTGGGACGTACGTGGAGTCACTCCTGCTGCCCGGGTGGAGTGCTGTGAGACAACCCAAACGGGGTTCAGGAGAACGTGTAGTTCTTTAAATTCTCAGCGTCACTGTGTCCTCACCCTCTAGTCTCCTCCTCCTTGTTAATGATCAGATGTTGGTGGGAGGAAGTGAGTGGCTGCCTTGCTCTTTCTCTGCATCAGGCATCATCCTGTAGGCTGTAGTGAGTCCTGTTCAGAGAAAAGTGCCTTCATGGGTTCCTGTCTCCTTTTCAGCAGAAAGTAAACTGAACCACCAGAAGCAGCGTACCATCACATGTGCTAGATGTGGTAATTAACTCTAGAAAGATACTAAAGGAACTCATTTAGGTTGACATAAGAGAACACTACACAGTAACTCAAAGCTGTGAAGATGTAAGTCTTCAGTAGAGGCAAGTGTAAAAGTTAGCCTTATTATAATTTTGGTTTATAACTGCAGTTTTTAATTTCTACAGAATAAAAGTAATCACAAATCTATGTTACTGATAAGGCATCCAGTGTGTAAAGATGTAGTTTGTATCATCAGTAGCATAAAGGGAGGGGTGACAAGGTGGCCCCTTCGGGTCTGGATGATAGATGTTGAGAGGATTAACAGTGACTCTAAGCAAGGAGGAAACTCATAGAGGAAAAGTCTTTAAAGCTCTAGGGGGCTTTATTCTGGAACTAAGAAGGAAAGTGAATTCTCCGAGATCTTCTCTTTCTCTTGGCTTTTTCCAGTGAAGTCAGACTGAGAGAGAAAGCAGCCAACTTGCTGTGTCTGTGTGTCTTTGTTGTGGAATATAATCTGTTCCCATCCTTTCTGGTGAGTGATTGTTGCCCATGTAGATGGGGAACTCTGACCTCTGTCCGAGAGCTCTGCTGTTTTAGAGCCACATTGTCTCTGATTTTACCTTTTTGTCTTCCCTTCAGGCTGCTTGATAGGGGCTGTCAATCTCAAGTCCAGCAACAGATACCCAGTGGTACAGGAATTTGAAAGTAAGTACTGGAGACTGTGAATTGGGAGAATGGGCACCCTCTCGTGGACATGCCGGAGTCTTGCAGCCAGCTCAGGCCAGGCATGTGGGGCCAGAGACGTGCTGGTGGGTGTGCAGGGGTGCTGGTGGGGCCCGGGCTCCGCAGGCCACAGGGGCTGCAGGTTGAATACTGGCTCAGGTCTGCCCTGTCCTGGCTTTGTGCTTACACGACAAAGACATTTCTATATACACGTGGAGTAGGAAGGGGAATGTCTCCTCTATTTAATAAAGGCTTTTTGTCTTCCCTTCAGGCTGCTTGATAGGGGCTGTCAATCTCAAGTCCAGCAACAGATACCCAGTGGTACAGGAATTTGAAAGTAAGTATTGGAGACTGTGAATTGGGAGAATGGGCACCCTCTCGTGGACATGCCGGAGTCTTGCAGCCAGCTCAGGCCAGGCATGTGGGGCCAGAGACGTGCTGGTGGGTGTGCAGGGGTGCTGGTGGGGCCCGGGCTCCGCAGGCCACAGGGCTGCAGGTTGGATACTGGCTCAGGTCTGCCTGTCCTGGCTTTGTGCTTACACGACAAAGACATTTCTATATACACGTGGAGTAGGAAGGGGAATGTCTCCTCTATTTAATAAAGGTTCCTGCTAATCATCTTCTCCTTTTTCTGGCTAAAATTCACCTTTTTCTGAAAGTCTCCTGGAGCCTGGTGATAGCTGGGTTTTAATCTGCACGAAAGACCTAACATTGCGAAGGCTTGCGCAGGTGGCGTGGGTGTAAGACCAGCTCAGGCCAGGCATGTGGGGCCAGAGACGTGCTGTGGGTGTGCAGGGGTGTTGGTGGGGCCCGGCCTCCGCAGGCCACAGGGGCTGCAGGTTGGATACTGGCTCAGGTCTGCCTGTCCTGGCTTTGTGCTTACACGACAAAGACATTTCTATATACACGTGGAGTAGGAAGGGGAATGTCTCCTCTATTTAATAAAGGTTCCTGCTAATCATCTTCTCCTTTTTCTGGCTAAAATGAACCTTTTTCTTTTTTTTTTAAAATATATATTTTATTGATTTTTTACAGAGAAGAAGGGAGAGGGATAGAGAGTTAGAAACATCGATGAGAGAGAAACATCGATCAGCTGCCTCCTGCACGCCCCCCAGTGGGGATGTGCCCGCAACCAAGGTACATGCCCTTGACCGGAATCGAACCTGGGACCCTTGAGTCCGCAGGCCGACGTCTATCCACTGAGCCAAACCGGTTCGGCTAACTTTTTTCTTAAAGTCTCCTGGAGCCTGGTGATAGCTGGGTTTTAATCTGCATTGACCTAACATTGCGAAGGCTTGCGCTGGCGGCGTGGGTGTAAGTAACCGGAGTTGTTCCACTTGCACTGAGAGTTCCTTTCTTTTTCTCTCATTAGGTGCGGAGCTGTCTTGTATCATTACAGATTCACAGACAAGAGAGCCCAGGATCGAATGGAAGAAAATTAAAGATGCTCAGACCACATACGTGTTTTTTAACAACAGAATACAGGGTATGATGCCATGTCCCCTCCATGTTTCCAGGCCAGACTTCCTCTCCTCCCACTGGTTCCGCATCTTAGCCAGGATTTTTATTTTTATTTTGTTTTGCTTTACTTACAGAAAAGTCAAACATGTCAAGGTAATGAGACTAGCATATTGAACCTCCCTGACCCTGTCACCCAGCTTCAGCAGATATCAATTCATTAGGGTTTTAATCTCTCTGCAAAATAGCTTTCTGCAGTATCCGAGTCAGCATGCTCCCAGGCCATCTTTTTATCACGATCCATGACATGAGTGATGCAAGTTAAGTGAGTTAGAGGGTCACATGGCACAGCAAGGAGACAACAAGTGTTTGGTGCAAGCACACCGCACTGAGAAAGCACTTGCTAGACAGCTGGCGGGTGTGATCCTGTGTGAGCACAGAGGTAAGCGTCAGGTGCTCTCGGGCGACATGACGGAGGGGCAGGACAGGTGGCGTGAAAAGCTTCCCAGAAGTGACCTCTAGACAGAGAAGTGAAGGCTAGTTAGCCAGGCAGGATGGTGAGGCGTGGGGTGAAGAAATGTGTTGGCCAGAAAGAATGATGTGTATAAAAATATAGAAGCAAATGTCAGCTTGGCTTATTAGAGACACTGCAAGGGCTCCCCCATTGCTGGGGCTGACAAAAGGAGGAGGAGGGCCAGGGGGTCTCCAGGTGAAGCTGACCAGGTGTGTCAGGGCCAGACTGGACCAGCTCGAGGCAGTGAACGCCAGGCTCAATCCCCAGGTGGGGTGTGCAGGAGGCAGCCGATGAATGACTCTCTCTCATCATTGATGTTTCTATCTCTCCCTCTCCCTTCTTCTCTGAAATCAATATATATCTATAATAATAAAAGCGTAATATGCTAATTAGACCGAATGTCCTTCCTGATGAAGCTGGGGCTGCGAGGGAAGCCCAGGTCCCTGGTGCCTGCCAGCTGGAGGGAAGCCCGGGTCCCAGGTGCCAGAGGGAAGCTGGTGCAGCAGCCGGGGGAAGGAAGGCCTACTCTTGCACGAATTTCGTGCATCGGGCCTCTAGTATCTATAGAAAGACAGGGGCATATAATGAGTCCTCTCACACACCAGGCACTGTGTTGGTGCCCGGTGTCCTCAGAGCTCACCTGTTTTAAAAGAACAGAAATAGAAGCTAGTCTTCTCATGAGGCGTCCAATGCGGGCCCCAGAAACTGCCTCCTTCAAGTTACAAAGAGATCTCGAAAGAGTCTTTAGTGCCCTGTTCCTTCTCTTCTACAGGGGACTTGGCAGGCCGTGCAGAGCTGTTGGGGAAAACCTCTCTGCAGATCTGGAACGTGACCAGAAGAGACTCTGCTCTTTATCGCTGTGAGGTGGTTGCTCAAGACGACCAAAAAGAAATGGACGAGATTGTCATTGACTTGACTGTGCAAGGTAGAAACTCACGTGCAACCAACGTGTTCCCCTTTCAGGCCTCATGAATTTGTATGTAGAAAAAGGAAAGATCAACTCTTACTTTCTTTCCTTCTGTAGCTCCATCCCTGAAGGTGTCCGCTTTAGGGAGGGTGTGGAGACCTGGGGCTGCTTGAGTTGTGTGGAAGCTTCTGCCACTTCCCTCCCCCCACTGTGGGAGGCCCCTGGGGAGGAGGCCTTGGGAACATGCTGCCGGATGATACTAGGGGTGTGGGTGGGGGGGGAGAAGGTGAGCTACAGGGGCAGGTTTCTGGCGGCAGACCATACAGACGGAAGGTGTGGCCATAGGACAGCAGGCGTGGCCATGGGGTGGTGGGTGTGGCCACGGGGCCATGGGCGTGGCCATGGTCCCAGTGGTGGTGCAGAATCCCCTGGCTGGCTTTCTTGTTTGGAGAGGATTTACGGCGGGCTTGTTGCTGATTTTAAATACCAACCTGTGCTTCTCCTACAGTGAAGCCAGTGCCTCCGGTGTGCACGGTACCAAAGGCTGTGCCCGTAGGCAAGATGGCCACGCTGCACTGCCAGGAGAAGGAGGGCTTTCCCCGGCCTCATTACAGCTGGTACCGCAACGACGCACCCCTGCCCAAGGACTCCCGCGCCAACCCCAGATTCCAGAATTCCTCTTTTGTCATCAACTCCGAAACGGGCACTCTGGTAAGACCTGGGAGAGGGGCGGATGGAAACGTCTGCTGGGCAGGGAGACCTGTGGAAAGAGGAGCCATTGGGAGAGAGAAGGGAGCTAAAGTCCCTGTCAGACCCCGGGAACAGGGTGCCGGTGTGAATAACCACCTGTCAGACTCATGAGACAAGCAGAGAAATCTGGTTACGGCTGGGCATTCCATGTTAAAATTGTCTATTGTTTCAGGCATGATCATGGTATTGTAGTAATAAAAGATTCCTATCTGCTAGGGAAACATTAGTATTTGTGAATAAAAGATGTCTAGTGGGAAGGGGTGGGTGGGGCAGAGGTGAAGGCAGGTCTGCTGTGCCCAGCAACAGCCACCCCAGCAGGTCACCAGCCTGCGGCACATCTGAGCACGCAGTGCCTGGGGTGCTCGAGGGGCAGGCGTCGTCATCCCTCTTCCAGAGTGAAAGTCACGCTAGCATCATACTCTGGATGCTGCCAGGCTTGAGTCTCCATACACCAGGGAAGCTGCTGTTTGGAAGCTCTCAAGCGAGGGTGTCAGGAATTCCAGGAAAGAACCTGGACAGGACCTGGAAGCGCAGGAAACCAGGAGGTGGAGCAGATATTGCCCGTGGGAGGAGGGAGCCTCTTCTCGCCTGACAGGCCTCCCATCTCCTTGTCACGTCCTGAGCAGGTGTTCAGTGCAGTTCGCAAGGAGGACTCCGGGCAGTACTACTGCATGGCTTCCAACGACGTCGGCTCGGCCAAGTGCGAGGCGCAGGAGATGGAAGTCTGTGAGTGCCTTCTGAAAAGATGGGTTTTCTCTTTAGACTGCAAGCGACTGCACGTTTACATTTAGTGTCAGGCGTCCGTGCAGACAGCTGTGGGTAGCCGACTGTGTCACCACGGCCACTCGGGTGCAGGGCGGTGAGGACAGCTGCATGGTGACCAAGTGTCCTTTGCAGGTGCTGGTCTCCTCAGGACAGACTTCCCACTGCTGTTAGTGTTGGAAACATGGCTAATTATGTCCCTTGTAACTGCGTTTAATAACTCCATTACTTTGTAGTAGATAAAAACATCAGGTTGTATTATCTTCAGAAACTCATCCGATGGTAGACAGATGCAGGGAGTGGAAGCATAGTCTTAGCCCCAGGAATTGCCCAGTTCTGGGCCGATGCTGGCTCTGCGGTATTGTTCTGGGGCGGGGGGCCGTGTGCTGAGCCGGATGGGGCAGGTGGGGCGGCCAGACACACCCGGGGAACTGCCCCCCAGAGCAGTTTTCCAAACTTGCCCAATGCCGAGAATCATCTGGGACCACGGGTTCTCATTCATAATCCAGGCCCCACCACGCACACAACTGTCTCCGGGCGGTTGGGAGGGTCCCTGGGAAAGAGCGTTCCGGAGGCTCTCCTCCCCCCGAGCAGTTTTCCAAACTTGCCCGATGCCGAGAATCATTCAGAATCCAGGCCCCACCGCGCACACGACTGTCTCCGGGAGGTCGGGAGGGTCCCTGGGAAAGAGTGTTCGGGGGCTCTCCTCGTCGTCGTCAGGTCTGGGAAGCTCCGCTCTCGGGGAGGAGGGAGATCCAGGGCTTTGCTCCAGACCCGGTGACCCTCGGGATCGGGCTGGGGACCGGAGGTTTTAAAATCGAAATCTCCAGTTGACTTTACGAGTACACCATGTTGGGAACCACTGCCTGGGGGAGGGAGAATTTTCCACTCCCTCGGTTGCTGCATCCCCTGCACACTTTCCTTCGTGCAAACACACACAGTGGGAAGTCCTCAGTTGCGCCCACGGAACGTGACTCTGCCCACCGTCCAGCAACGAGAAAGGGGGTCCAGGCTTCCGCGAAGGGGGCTTGTGGGTACCAGGCCGGGCATGCAGGGAGCGGCCATCCTCTCCCCTGGACTTCTTACTGCCTGAAACTACCTCTCTTCCCCCTGATAATCCACAGCACAGGAAGCCCCGAGAATGAGGAGTTTTCTTCCTAAGACGCCAGGCTCCTCGTTCTGTAGACAGTGTATCCGTCTCCTCCCGTGGTAACTCAGGAGTTAGCCAGAGGAGCGTTCAGGCTTCTCTACCCGCCAGGCCCCTTTCCTACAGGACCAGGGGCAGCAGCATTGGACGTGGAGGCCTCTGCGCCTTTCCACGTGAGGACGGGCACGGCCCCGAGTGCGCTAGGAGAATCTGCGTGTCCTCCCCTGTCTCTCTGGTGGGGGAGGAGGCACCCCCGGGTCGGGTGCTTGGTGAGGCCAAATAGTGTGGAGCCTCTCCTCCCTCCACCCCCCTCCCATCCAGATGACCTGAACGTGGGCGGGATCATCGGCGGCGTTCTGGTGGTCCTGGCTGTGCTGGCCCTGATCACCGTGGGCATCTGCTGTGCGTACCGACGCGGCTACTTCATCCACAAGCAGGACGAGGAGAGGTGAGCCTGCGCTTGTGGAAGGAATAGGGTACAAGCGGGCATTAACGTGATGCCCAGCAGTCGCTCAGCTGCCCTCCTCTGTTTCAGTTTCAAGAGTCCGGGGAGGCCCGACGGAGTTAACTACATCAGGACAGATGAGGAGGTACGGAGCGAGGGGACGGTCACTGGGGAAACCCAGGACTCGAGGGGTCCCCAGCAGGGAAAGGGACATCCCTCCTTGGAAACCAAGTGGGTCCCATAGTAAAAAGATTCCCAGGTTCCATTCCAGACGCTGGGCTCTTCAGCCCTGCACAGCACACGTGCACGCTGACGGCCTTACAGCTGCGAGCGCTTGCGTAGCCTACCTGTTAGGATGCTCAGGCCGACCTGTCCTGCCAGTTTCTCCTCCAGGGACATGGTGATTTGACACGACTACGTTCCCCTTCCCTCTGCCCCAGGCCCCTCGGTGGGCAGAGGGTGGCCGTATTCTAACCCTGTGCTGGCCTTGCAGGGCGACTTCAGACACAAGTCGTCGTTTGTGATCTGAAACCTGACATGCGGCCGAGAGCACACGCAATACCTCCACCAGGAACTTCCCTAGAGCCGCCCGAGGGCAGCGCACCCGACAGAGCTAGACACGCGTGCAAAGCTTTTTGTTTTGGCCAAAGTTGACCGCTACTCCTCTCCTACTTTTTAACAAGCCGCATGAATAAAAGAATTTTCCTCAAGATGGGCTCAGGCATCACAAGGAAAAGAACTGAGTGAGCTCACCGAGGCCGGCTCCCAGCTCAGACCGCTGGCTCCCATGGGCCTGGGAAGCCAGTTCATTTGCCACTTGCTGTGGGTCAGCAGGGGGAGCACCCTGCGAGGGGGGACGAGGGAGCAGGATGCCCTGCAGCTGCGGTTTGAATCAGTGCGTCCAGAAAAGAGGCTCGTTGGCCGTGACCTCGCCTCAGTGGCCCCGACAGTCTGCACCGGCTCTTCTGAAAGGCGCCTCAGTGTTGTCCTGTCCATCTGGGGAATCCTCTTGGATCAGCACTTAGTGAACTGCTCGCTGGGAGGGCTCCTTACCTGCAGGAACCCTGCTCGTCGCCGGAGGGTCTCTATGGAAACCTCCCGCTGAGCCCAAGTGTGACATGGTACTAAAACGTCCTGCTTTTCTATGGGTGTTTGTTTTCTAGAATTTTACATTCTAAATTTTTGCTAAACATGTATTTTGGTTATTGAAAAGAAAACTTCTATTTAAACTGTAAATATGTTGTCATACCGTGTTGAATAACCTATTTTTTTAAAGAAAAAGTTCAGCTTGCAGGAGGAGTTCCAAGCTACTCGTGTCAAATGGAAAACGCCAACAGTAAGAGCATCCTAACCCACGGCGTCTGCACGGGGGCTCGGCTGGGCCATTCCTTCCACAAGTGCTTTAGCGTTTTCGAGAACTTCTGCCACCGACACGTCAGACCACGTTGCTTAGGGAACCTTTAAAATTCCAGTTGAGTAACGTCAAAGTTGTCCTCTCTCCAAAGAAACACAGGCGCTCTTAGGTCAGCCGTGAACTGCCTCTCCCTTAGATCCCTACCACCACCTGTGGCCAGAGACCACCAGAAGCTGTCAGTCACAGGCAAACCACACGGGTCAGCTCCCAGGGTTGAGTCATATGCCCCTGAGTGGGTGTGGGCTGCTAACTCCCGAGGCCGCCAGCACGTCCACTCCACCGCCAATGCCACCCTGGCTGTGTGCCAACCAGCTCCAGTCTGTTGTTCATGCGCCCAGCACCGGGCCCAGCCTAGAACAGGTGAGGTGTCCATGCAAGAAGGTGGCCCCCCCCGTGTGGCCTCCCGCCGCTGGGTTCCTGAGCCACAGCCCTTTCTGGTTGTGGATAGCTCACAAAACAAAAGCTACTGCTCTTTTGTTTTTAAATGTATTTAACTTATTTGTGCAGTTCATAACACTGTGCAGGCCAAAGGCAGTTCTGAATCAAGCCTGCCAGCTACATTTTTAAAGACGAATTCCACTTGTCCTCTTTGCCATGAAGAAAGCGCCGACGCCGCGGCCTGTGCTCGCCTCGCAGTGGAGCCAGGGCAGAGCCTGATGGTGAGCAAAGTGCCGGCCTGAATCCAAGGCCGAGTTCTGGTTCTGATCTTAGTTTTCCTCCACCCCGGCCCTGCCCACGCCGTGGGGATGCGAGGAACACGCCTGCCTTCTGCAGGAGCAGGTCTTGCCGGGTGCGCTGTTAGCTGGCGGAGTGGTTTGAGGGAAGCCCTGGCCCTGGTGTGCTTAGAGGGTAGTTTTCATGTAGCCACAGTCATCTTGGGATTAAACTTCACTTGTCTTAACTTTTTATACTTGGAGGGGTTTTTAATTGGAGACTGTGACTTTTTATGTGAAATACTTTGCATGGGGGAGTTGGCAGGAGCAGTCGGCAGCTCTCCATACCTGCTTACTGGTACCTCTCTCCTGCGTTTGTATTGAATGCTTAGGATGAGGACTATCCCTTCACCTTCACCTCTTCTTGGTAGGAAGGGATAGCGCCCCCTTTCTCTAATTCTTGGGGATCAGTACTCTGGCCTTGATCTTGGTTGTCACAGTGATAAGACAGCCTTATTACCTTTCTTATGCCTAAAACCTATGCTGGGGCCAGGTGAACTGGGTCTGACAGGAGAGAAAAGTGAAGCGTGGAGTCTGGGAAGTAGTTGCCTGTGACTAAAAATGTAGATAGATAAGAAACACTCATGTTTTTCAAATGTGAATGTGACTAAAGGCATGAGGCCTGTCCGCTGCCGTGGCCTTCGGCGTGGCTGTGCGTAGGTGTGCAGACTTGTACTAACACCCCCTAAATCGGTATGTGTTCAACCTCATTTATAAAAGCTTTACAAAAATCAACTTTGCCTCGTTATTTCTTTCTTATTTCCTCTCATGTCGGGGTTGCCCTTCTTCCTAGCATTTCCAGGTGAGCACTCAGACCGCCACCACATGTCCATGGATTGGACAGGAGTGGCTCACTCAGGAGCAGCTCTGTGACTCCATGTGTCACAGGTCACACGGGAGAGCTGTGGGCAGGTCACAGGGATGTTCTGCCCTCAAATCCAGCTGCCGTGTTGATATTAACACTGTCACAGTGCCCTGTGCTCTGCATCTGTAGTCTGGGAATAAAAAGTGAGCAGCGGGGTTTCTGGTCATTCCTGGTGAAAACACACGTGCATGTTGCGAGGCTACCTGGTGGGGCCGACAGAAGAGACTGAGGCACTTCACAGGAGCAGACGGTCAGCACAGCTCCAGCTCCGTGTCGGTGCCGCTCACTCGGGGGAGGGGAGGCTACCTGGTGGGGCCGACAGAAGAGACTGAGGCACCTCACAGGAGCAGACGGTCAGCACAGCTCCGTGTCGGTGCCGCTCGGGGGAGGGGGAGGGCCTGCAGCAGGCTTTCACCAGCAGGACTAGGTCCATACACTTACAGGGACACCTGTTGTCAGGAGGCAGCAGCGTCTGTCTGGGGACATAGGCACTGAAATTTAAGGACAAACAGTCATTATTTTAACTTGAAAGATTTTTAAAATTCTCAAGTTTTTATGTAAATCGAAATGACTACCAATAAAAGCCCTGTTGTAAGAATAAAAAAATTCTATTGCAGTAGAAACTATAAGGCTGTATTTATGCTTTATTATCGTTTTAGAAAGCTGTACACTTTTAAAAATGTGCAGTTCATAAATAAGAATAGAAAAATATTACAATCAAAATCTTGTCATACACACAGGGAACCATTCACTCTAGAGGATTCTTATCAGCTAACAGGTTGGATCTGTACACGAGAAAGCCAACGTGTCACGTGTTCCTTAGGGACCACCAGAACGGACTTGATACTTCCACATGGAGTAAAGATAAAACGTGACACAGCTAAGGCATTTCTCTATTATTTTACAACTTTTACCACATACTCCTGGAGCAACTGAACCAGCTGGAGTCACAGCACAAGTGCTGGGGCACATAACGAAGCGCCCCCGGGGCTCCCGGAGGTGATACGGGGGGTGCCTGTCCCCGTGCGGAAATGATGTCTTCCCAGCCCGCTGCCCGCGTGCCCTGCGTGCACTGTTCTAGTTGGCGGCTGTCAGGGGCGTCTTCCGGAGCGACCTCTTGCTGGGGACTGGGTTGTCTTTATTTCTCGCTGGAGACTTCACGTTCCACTGTGGAGGCGCCGGAGGCCTGAGGAGGAAAAGATACACTCACTCTGGAACTAAGAGAAAAAATGCTGACAAAATGACTATAAAAGGGACTCATGCTCAACTCACGGCTTATCAGGTGATGATAAACACAAAGTGTTTCCTGGATTCTGGGCTTCAATTTTCTCTGAAAGGGAGTCAAACACAAACAATTAGACTCCCCAGGACTCCAGGTGGCTAAGGCATCAGAGAGGAGGGGCACTTGCCTCTGACGGGAAAGGGGGTCCGGGGTGTGCCGATGTAGCTGACTCCCGCCTCAAACGTGACGTCTCCTATGGTCTCTGGAGGAGGGGAAACAGCAGGGTTAACAAATGAAGTCACCGAGCAAGGTCCGAGGTCCGACTCCCTTCCTCTGACCACTCTTCCTCAGGGTGCTGTGCTGGTGCCTGAGCACCCGCTGCTCACTGTCTCCGGCTTCCACCACCCATGTCCAGTCACTGCCTATATGCCAGGCACCCCCAGCTCCCCATTGGGGCTGCCTCCCGAGTCCTGCACCTCCCAGAACTCCCGAAGTTGCTTCGCCCACTCCCTCCCTCCACTCCTCACCTGCTTCCTTGTACTCATCCAATCAGCCCTGTCCACACTGGCAGGACCTGGCACCCTTCGCTCCTCCTCCACGTCTAATCAGTAGCTGAGTCCCATCCCTCCTACCTTCCTAGTCCACATGCTCTCCTCCTTCATCTCACCCTTGACCTATTATGGCTTTCCCTTCTGATTCACCCTCAGGGGGGCAGGAGAGCAGAATGGGAACAGAGACTGAATCAGAACCTGGGTTTGAATTCTGGCTGTGTCTTTCTAGCTGTGGGCACTGCTCTAGGAACCCCAAGTGTTTTTACCTCTAAAACAGGATACAAAGGTCAGGATTAAGTGTGATCATTTATGTTAAGTCCTCAACACAGTACTTGTGCTAAAGAAATGTTAGCAACTACTGTAATGGAGTAGCTGTTACCCTCACAGGGTGCGAGGTGGTGACCAGGAAGGGTGAGGACATGCCATGTGTGAGGCCTGTGTCAGGCAGAGCAGGGCTTGCCCAGGACTCGGAGAGGCCCGCCCAGGGCTGGGGTGCAGGTGGCGGGAGACCCGGTGGGGGGCATGCGGAGACACCTGCAAACTACACTATAGATTTTTGTCAAGAGAATGTCTTGGCATAGAATTAAGGTTTTTATGGGTTTTGAGACAAGAAGCTATAAAACACTGCACTTCTAACTTGTTTCCCCTTTGAAATAAAAGGAAAAAATAGGACATTGAAAAAACACACACCCGTGTAAGTGGGCATACACAGGGTCCCGGCCCAGCTGGCAGGGACCCTTGGAGCTGCCGCTGACTCGAGTGGGCCTCGGACAAAGCAGGGCTGGCTGTGCACATCGAGCCGCGTGGGAGTCAGGTAGGAGGGCGGTGTTGGCTCTAGAACACCAGGAAGTGTGCTGCCCAGAGAAGCTGCGTGAGGGACCTGCGCCGGAGGACGCCTCCCGGCTGTGGGCTGTGGGCAGTGTAACCGCGTTCACACGTCAGCCCCTGGACAAGTCCTGCAAGTGCAGCCGGGGCTCAGTGCAGTTGTATATGATGACTACCTGTGCTAATTATCCCGGAACATTCCGTCTGACACACGCACTACAGGGCTGCTGGTCAGGGAGAGACCCTCGCACAGGGAGCTTTCCTGCCACCTCCGCAGCCGGGCCGCAGCGGTGGAGCCAGCTCGCTCCCATAGTACTTACTCTCAGGGGTGCTGATGGCACGTCTGGCCACGGGGTCGATGGCTCCACTGGACTCCTGCTCCAGGCTGTACGAAGATGCTAGGATACAATGAGAAAGTCCGCTCTGTTCAAAAACCCAAAGCCACATCCCAGAGCAAAGCAACTAAATGAGAGACAGCATCTGTAAGAAATGTGCTGAGGTTAATACCCCATATAGAGTGTCCTGATAAAGAGGTCATTCAGGAAAAGACAACAGGAGGGACAATGTCTATTCCCACTGGGATCAACGAAACGGGAATGAGAGCCACAGCCATTTTAGTCTGGAAAATGGAAAATCAGAAAACCAGTGTTTGCAGTAGGCAGACGGCAGGAGCGTGATGTGGAGGGAAGGACAGGATGGTGTGACGCTGTTGGGAGGTTCAAGCAGTCAGGGCCTCTGAGGGCTGTCATTACCAGGCTGTCTGCAAGGTTTACTGTGACATTATTCCCAACAACCAAAAAGCACCTCCGTGTCCAAAAACGGGACCATGATCAATAAGTTATGTGCTTCCCCATGACACGGCGCTGCACGGCCGCTGGGAGACAAGTCCTGAAAGGCTGAGGCACAGAATGCGCACCGAGACCACCATTTTATAAAGAAAGCCGAGCACCCGTGTGCGAAGAGGAGAAAGGCTGCAAGAACAAACGATGGGTGAGTTTTCTATTTCCAATCTTTTCCAAACCTTTTATCACCAATATGCACTGTTTTGTGACTTATAATCCTAAGCCCCCAAAGCGTTTCGTTTTAAAGAGAGTAAAACAGAAAGTATCTTCAGAGGAACGAGAGGAACCTGTCCCTGAGTGAGACGGAACCCGCGTGGCGCTCAGCCTTCGGGACTGCCGCAGACTCACCTCGGTGAGGGTGCGCTCTGTCCAGGCTTTCCGAATTTAAAGTGAACGGCAACATTCCGATGCTCCGACTCCCACGCCGGCTGTTGGACTCCACGGCCTTCTTGACGGAATTCAGGATGGCAATGGTACTGAGAGACAAGGACCTGCGGGGAGAGCACGCCATGCTGGGTGGAAAGCAAAGCTGAGCGAACTGCAGGCAACACCCATTCATTCCACACCCATTTCTTGTCGGAAGGGGAGAGCGCAGAGGAAGTATCAGCAAACACAACGGCAACACGCGGCCCGCACACGCCTGGTGGGGACGGCTGACCGACTCTGGCTCGTACCTGGCCTTGGGCAGGGGCCTCTTGGACTGCCCCGCGTCAGCTGACAGAGGCCCAGGCGGTGCCTGGCCGGCGCTGGACCCGGGCTTCGAGGGCTGGCTCGCACCACGGGGGACACTGGCATTTTCTTGGCCGTCAGAAGCTGGCATTATTTCTAAACTTGGAGAAACCTGTCATGGAAGAAAAAAAGAATCGTTACATGCTCTGAGCACGACCATAAGGCATCTATTTTAAAGCATGTCAGCCCAGGGTAAGTGGAGCCGCACTGTTCGCAGACCGCCACACCGTGCGGTGGTGTCACAGGGAAAAGGAGAACATGGTTTGTCCTCATTTTTAAGGCAGCAGACCCCCTGGGCTCTCAGGGAGGCAGCACACTGCGTCGGGAGGTGAGCAGAAGCTCCCCCAGAAACACCCCGAGTTGCAGAGGTTTTCAGAGGCGCTGCTGGGAGGGCGGCAAACAAGCACGCAGCCTCCGGAGAGCCCTGATCACCGGTCGGACAGCCTGCTGCCAGCCTGCTTGCCGGGCGCTCACACATTTCTCCAAACGATTATTGTAAGGACTTGCCAGGCTGGGTGGAGTGACCCAGCTCCCTGCCTGCCACAAACCACGCGCAGCGGGCCACGCGCAGGCCCGAAGCCAGGCTGAGACCTGCCCCTGCTACACGCACAGCAGAGCAGACGGCAGGGGTCAGCCTCCGTGCTGCTCACCCACCTGCACGGCCTGGGCCCCGTCAGCACCTTCCACCCTGTTCGCATCTGCTTGTCTCGCCAGCTCCTGCTCCTGGGCCAGCTGTTCCTGGTACTTCTTCATGTCGTACTCGAGTTCTGACGCCAGCTGCTTGTCGACGGCAAAGAAATCCTTGATTTCATCTCGGTAGTCCTGCATCACCTCCTGAAACAGACGCAGGGGTACGAAGGAATATGTAAGCTCTCCGACATGACTTGAGGAACAGGAATAGGAACAGGAAGACTTGGTTTGCTGAGAGCATCACCTCCTGAAACAGACGCAGGGGTACGAAGGAATACGTAAGCTCTCCGACACAACTTGAGGAACAGGAAGACTTGGTTTGCTGAGAGAGGACTGTTCCTATTACAGCAACCAACAAGCTAACGAACACAGCGTGTTTCCCAGGAAAGAGCGCTGGACACCAGCAAGCGAGCCTGCCGTGACTATCAGAGTCCAGTCTCCCGGGAGCCGAGTGTCCCTCTGCCAGTTACCAGGTAACGTCCCAGGTTGCTGACAGCAGAAAGGACATGGACTCACACGATCTCCGCCTAAAGCAGAGCTTTAACAGGGCTCCCCCTTCCCACTCCTGAAGGCTGGCGTGGGAGAGTGACATGTGGGGCAATCTGGCTTGGCTCTGGGTCACCCCCAGTTCCAAGGGTCTCGTATTGTCACCGAGGCAGGCCCCGTGGGAGTTCACGCAGAGGTTAGGTGGGGAGGGGAGACATGGCATGTCCCCACTCAGGCCTCTGGAGCAAGGGCCCCCCAGTCTGAAGGGGGCTCTCTGTCCACTCCAGCTTCCGCAGAGGAAGCGGCCGTGGCTTGCAGTCCACCTGTGTCCTCTTCTGAAGATGTGACAGGAAACCTTTTGCTCAGGTCTTAAAGGGGGCTGCACGGGACGGAGCCCCTTTGCAGGGAAAGAAACCAGCTCACCTAACAGGGTGAGAGGGAGGAAAAGATATAACATGCTCCCAACTAGTCCCAACAACGGGCAGGAGGTGAATGGACTGCTCCAGCTGCTGCTAGGAAGGAGCACGCGGCTCGAATCCAGCAGGATCTGGCGGGAGCCGGGGGCGGGCGGCGGGGGGGTGGGTTTGGTCAGAAACGGGAGGGAGGCTTATTCTTCCCACGTGCTCAGTCTACTTAGGCTCTGAGCTCTTTCTCTCTCTTTTCTGAGGTTAAATACAGGGCAAAGGAAATATAGAAACAACTGGAAGGTCTCACTTTTTTCCAGACAAGGAGCCTGTCTTTCTCACCTTCACTTCCTTAGGATAAAGAGCTATTTGAAAAAGTGTATTCCATGTGATTTTTGTTGTAGCTCTTTTTGAAAAAAACGCTCAGCGTTTTTTGAGGAATGAAATGGCATAGGGTAGACAGAGAGTTAAGATTTTCACAGACGGGCCGGAGGCGTCGGCTACGTCTGCCCTGCAAGTGTTCACATGCTGGCTGCGCAGACAGAAGACAGACTTTCCGTGGCCGGCGAGGGCAGCCTGGCTGCTGATCCGTATTCCCCAACGGCTGCAGGTACTGGGCAGCTACGTGACTCGTCCAGCAGACGGTGGTAAAGGGAAACTCCCCAGTGAAGCATGGTGACCAGTTCCCGCTCGCCCCCTCACCAGAAGGAACTAAGTGATGACTTTGCTCCTGGTCAAGGACACACGCTCAGCAGTGGGCCAGCTCTGCACAGACCCCACTGCTCCGCTTCGTGGAACCTATGGGCAAACTCCACAGCGCCAAAGGCCTGCCTGGTTGCTCTCGTTCTAAACCGCGTGACACTGGCTTAGGGCACGTTCAGTCCTAGTCATCCGGCCAGCAGCCCCAGCAGCACCGCTGCCCGAGCAATGAGCTGGGGCGGGAGACCCACCAGGAGCACAGGGCACCTTACCCTGAGGTAGTTCATGAGCTCCCGCAGGGCCGGGACCTTGTTCTTCTCCAGCACGGTCTTCAGGGAGATGATGATGGGGATGATGTTCTCTATGAAGTTCCTTTTCTGCACCTGCAGGGACACAGCGGCGCATCTCAGGGATGCAGGATGCTCTGCAGGACGGCTGCTCCTCGACCGAGGTCTCTGCCTGGCAGACCTGGTCGATGGCGTGAGCCTGCCTTCGATGCTTTATTATGGCCCTGGGAGCTGTGCAGGAGGCTCTGCAAGCATCGCCTCAAGCCCAGGAGAGCTGGCAAAGGGGGCACAAATAAACGCATTCTTACTTTCTAAACGAGAAAAAGGAACTAGAAATACGTTGAATAACCTGACAAAAAGCTCCAAACCTCCACACACAGCTACTGCAGACCCTGGCTCCACATTCAGTGCTCCGTTCAGCACCTCCCTTCGGAAGGGCCTGAGGGCGTGCAGCGGCTCAAAGACACAGGTTTATTTCCGTCGGTGAACGGACAATGGGCCAGCATGGCTGAGCATGGAGGCAGTCAGCTCCACAGCGCCCTCGCTCTCTGTGTGACTCTGTGTCTATGTAGGAAAGTGTTGTGCATTTGGGTAGTCCGTGACTTGGACTTGACCCAGCCTTCATGTTGTTTACCGTGAATGATCAGACAGGGCAGGGGCTCAGGTAAACGCAGAACCAGGAACACGTGAGAGGTGGAGCTGTGAGCTACAACGACACATGGCCTGTGGGCAGTCTATTTCTGTGGGCTCAGGAGTCTTCGGGGCTCGGGTGGGAAACAGGAAGCAGTAACCCAGGCGAGGAACCAGAGCCGGGGGCCTGGTGGGAGCGACAACAACCAGCCGCCCTTAACATGACTCAGACCCCACTGTGGCCGCAGGAAACGGTGCCTGGCATGCGGCATGCGGCCGGGGCAGCGCCGGGCCCTCTCCGCCACAGGAGACTGCGGGAAAAGAGTGACGAGAAGGAGGAAGAGGGTCGGCAGGTGGGTGAGGACAGGAAGTCCGAGACGCCGGTGGCACAACCAGGCAGGCAAGTGGGACGGGTTCCCGCTCACGAGAGACGTGGGCGCATGAGCACCATCTGGGAGCATGAAGGCCCCTGCTGAGGATGGCGGGAGACCCCAGGCCACCCACACTGCGGGCACGGCGGCCTCCTCGGAGCGCTCACCTGGGAGATGAGCTTCTTCTGGGCTTCCTGCATGACCACGTTGGCCAGGGCCACGTCGTCTTCCTCCATGAGCAGGTCCTTGTCTGGCTTGGACCTCATCGCCAAGAGCTTGATTTCCTTGGAGCTGAGGACCTCAAAGGCATCTGAGAGGAGCTCGCTGGCTTCCGAGTCCGGGGGCAGGACGCCATCCGCGAAGCACGCTGGGAGAGGGCACAGAGACCGGCTCCTGAGACAGCAGCCCCGGTGGGGAGGCGCCGCGGAGCCAGAGAGCACGCCGGCTGCCAGGGGAGCGTGGGCACAGGTGTGTCCCGGACAGAAGGGGTCTTCCTGGACGACCGGGGCCCCACTGGCTCCAGACCTGCTGGGCCACTCGCAGCACCGCATCCCACTCTTACACAGACATTTTATCCCCAACACAACATGCCTACCCAGAATGTCAAGGCAGATTTTGGACGTCATGTGGAATCGCTGTTCATCGGTGAAGTGCTCTAGAAGAAACTTGTAGATTTTCATTCGTTTCTCCTTGTTTGTCTTTCCCTTCAGTGAGAAAAGCCGCTTCTCTCTAGGGCAAAACAGGACAATTTTACCACGTCACGTGGGCAAGGACGGCCAGGACTTCACCAGCATCTCACAGCCACCACCAGAGCGTGCACGTCACCAGCGCGTCCCTAGGACCCCTGGCACACGTGGAGTGACGTGCACGGCCCGGCCAAGACAAGCCGCGACCCCCGGAGGAGGATGTGGCTGCCTCCCCCACCCCAACCCCCGAGCTCACTGACCTCTCCGACTGGGAGAACTTGTTATACTTCTCATGCTTCTCGTAGTTATTAAAGTGGAAAATACACTCAACAAAGTGCTGGAAGAACATGGCAGGATTCCTCTTCAGTAACAGGTGAGCCAGGCAAAACTCCCCGAAACTGCAAAAGGAGGAGACCCGGTCGGCCACTAGCAGAGAGCCAAGAGCATGATAGCAAGAACTCTGCAGAGCAGGGGAACTGAAATAGGGGGAGGGAGACTAAATCCCCCCAGCAAACAGCTTCCTTTGCATCAGAAACAAGGGAGGAGTTCGCTTCCTTTGTCATCCTTGCCCAACAGCGTCCTTTCGGACTCCAGGGCCAGCACAGCCTTTCTCTACCAGGTTTCCTTTCGAAATTCTAAGACGGTGTCAGCTACACTTCAAACGGACACGAACAACCAACCTACCCCAAGCCGCTGCTGCAAGGCAGAGCCCGTGGTCCCGAAGGCCGAAGCAGTGAGCGCAGCCGCCTGGACGTGAGCACTGGGCCCCGCCTTTCCACACCCCTCCCCGGACCTGAAGCTGATGCCCACAATCATGAACACAAACCAGTTTTAGTAACTGCAACTGTTTTCAAGAGTTGGATTAATTGCAAGAGCGTCATCATCTGAGTCAGTAGGGCAAGTGCCCTCCACAGACAGCCACTGCCTCCCATCGAGCTCTGAGCCCTCGGCCCACCCTGGGCCCTCCTCCTCCCGTGCCCGGCCCGGAAGAGGCATCTAGCACACGCACCCTGCGGCACAGTGGGGCGCCCACGTCTCTAGCACCATGCCCATCTGAAGCGCAGCCTCCCAAGCCAAATGGACATGGACAAAAGCCAGGCTGTCCAACCCCAGGCTCCCGGACAGCCCGGTTTCGTCACGGCAGCACCTGAGACCAGCCGGGGCGCTGCTTTCTGCTCAGGGTCAACCTAGAGCAGTGATGGTGAACCTATGAACTCGTTTTTTTTGGTTGATTTTTCTTCGTTAAATGGCATTTAAATATATAAAATAAATATCAAAAATATAAGTCTTTGTTTTACTATGGTTGCAAATATCAAAAAATTTCTCTATGTGGCACGGCACCAGAGTTAAGTTAGGGTTTTTGAAAATGCTGACACGCCGAGCTCAAAAGGTTCGCCATCACTGCCCTAGCGGGGGCCAGGGCTGGCTCTGACCCCCTCACGCTGCCCACACCAACGCTTCCCTTTCCTCTCAGAGTTCAACGCCAATTCCACCGACACAGGAGACCTGGTGGGCTCCCACCGAGCAGCAGGGACGAGGACAAGCCGAACATTTCATTCCTGGTGCGGAATGCATTAGGACTTGCCGGGGCGTGCCTTCCCCCGCTGTTTCTCCTGAGGCTAATACTCAAATCCGTTGCAGTCACAGCACACAACCAATTAAAGGTCAGAAGGTAGTTCAGAAATCATGAGGTTGAAACCAAGCAATCTCTCTTCACTTCCTTTTCTATCTCAGTGGCCCATTATTTTGTCACTTTTTTGCCTCAAAATCTCTCTGGCCCCACCTCCTTGCACCTCTGCAGCATTTACCCAGTTAAATGGAACAAGCCTGGCTGTCACCCTGTGACTACGGTACCACAAAGCTACCACCTAGTTGGCACAGGGAAAAACATATCAGACAATTCTGTAGCCCCCAAATTTGGGGTTTATCACCATATGACCAATTAAAAATGTCATGCAAATTTGCTCATGCCAGAATCTTCAGGAAATCCCGTCAGACCACAGATAAATTCCATAGGCTCTGCCACTACAGTCTCTTTGGAAGAGCGGGTTAGCAGATACATGTGGAAAAAGTAATGTGTCTAATGCAAGCAGACAGGCCTGACCGGTGGCCTAAAAGTAGGGAACAGCCTCATTTAAATGACAGTGAAACCGAAAATCAGGTCCACATTTGAACCACGGTTTAAACAAACCCAGAATCAGATAAAATGGAAAGATTTAAGGCGGAAATATGGAAATGTTATGAGGCACTGATAATCTTACTATCGTGTAAACATCTATCTGTCCTTCTAATTTCTGAGTCAGGCTCTGAGCACCTGCACAAGTTCTGTGTGTATTTTACATACTAATCAATGCTCTTCTTAACATATATGTACAGGAGCTGACAACGTGGGAAAAACAGAGCTGCCAGTTAAAGGACCGATTCACCGCCAGGCTCGCCATCCAGAGCCTGCCACGCACGCCTACACGTCGCAGGAGAGACCGAGGGCCAGTCTGCGGCAGCAGGTTAAGGTCAGGGGCACTGCACAGCCACCCGGTCCCTTTCCCAATTGTGTAAACTCTAGACCAGCGGTCGCCAACTGGTGGTCCGCAGACCTGGTGGTCCGTGAAGTCCCGAAGGTTGGCGACCACTGCTCTAGACAGTATTAATTAAAACATTAACCGCTACTAGTTTACTACGTCAAATGTTCCTTCTTGGAAAATTATACCAAAAGGAAACTGAGCAGAAATTCTCCCAGGGAACTCAGAGTGAATCACTGGTAACCACATTTAGATCCAGAGGGACCCATTATTATAAGCTATTTATAGTTAATGAACTCTATAAACACCTCTTCCCAACGGGGGTAGCTTTTGCCCTGGTATTCAATAATCTATTTTCTAACTGAAGATTTGCTTTATAAAGAATTATACAACATAACCTTGGTTAGCAAATTCTGTGAGATCATTTTTCAACCTTTAAAAAGAAATCTTTTAGAAAATTATTGAACGACAGGAATTAAGTGGCAAAGCAATTCCCTTCCCTTCCAATTCTTAAGAAACAGCCATTTCCTAGGAGCCTTGTAATTTGTATACTCTATTTCATACTGTGCAATTGTGTCTTAGTTCCTAGCATTTCTTCTTAAAATTTCTGCACTTAGAAGCAGCTGAACTCTTTATCAAAACTCATTTTATTGGCCTAGACATCAACCCAGTTAAGTCAATGTTAATGGCTACTATTCTATAGTTTCCTAGACCAGTGGTCGGCAAACTCATTAGTCAACAGAGCCAAATATCAACAGTACTTCTTCAAAATAGACTCGCCCAGGCCGAAAACCGACTTCTGCGCATGGGCCACGAAGTTTCAATTGCACTGTTCGCGTGCCCGCACGTGGTATTTTGTGGAAGAGCCACACTCGAGGGGCCAAAGAGCCGCATGTGGCTCACGAGCCGCAGTTTGCCAACCATGGTCCTTGACAAAGGCACATACCTGCTTAGGAAGAGTGAACAGTGTTAGCAAATGTGGTCAATGCGGAGATTATTTAATGGTCAATTTGAACAAGTTTGTTTTTCTTCATAAACTTGTATGCAAATTTGACTTTGTTATACAGCTTAGGGTTTAAAAAAATCCGCTCATTTTTTGGCAACTGCCAAGAAGCTCATTGAATCCTAATGAACTCAACTGTAAACCAACTTTAAAGAAAGACGGAATGAAGACCAGCAGTCAGGCCCATCAGAGCGGCCTGCACGCGAGGGAAGATGTACCTGGCGACGTCTGGGTGTGAGTCTATCAGAGTGCTGACAAACTGAAAGAACAGAGAGCCCTTCCATTTCACAAATTCTTCCTGTACAAAGGGAAATGACACGAGTAAGAAGGATTATTAATACACAAACCTAAAAAGTATTCAGTCACAAACTCAACTGTTAACTTCCTTTTGTTTAACATCACACCTGTGAGCCACTCAGGTCTGCCTGTGCCCACCCACACTCAGGTCTGCCTGTGCCCCCCACCCTCAGGTCTGCCTGTGCCCCCCACCCTCAGGTCTGCCTGTGCCCCCCACCCTCAGGTCTGCCTGTGCCCCCCACCCTCAGGTCTGCCTGTGCCCCCCACCCTCAGGTCTGCCTGTGCCCCCCACCCTCAGGTCTGCCTGTGCCCCCCACCCTCAGGTCTGCCTGTGCCCCCCACCCTCAGGTCTGCCTGTGCCCCCCACCCTCAGGTCTGCCTGTGCCCCCCACCCTCAGGTCTGCCTGTGCCCCCCACCCTCAGGTCTGCCTGTGCCCCCCACCCTCAGGTCTGCCTGTGCCCCCCACCCTCAGGTCTGCCTGTGCCCCCCACCCTCAGGTCTGCCTGTGCCCCCCACCCTCAGGTCTGCCTGTGCCCCCCACCCTCAGGTCTGCCTGTGCCCCCCACCCTCAGGTCTGCCTGTGCCCCCCACCCTCAGGTCTGCCTGTGCCCCCCACCCTCAGGTCTGCCTGTGCCCCCCACCCTCAGGTCTGCCTGTGCCCCCCACCCTCAGGTCTGCCTGTGCCCCCCACCCTCAGGTCTGCCTGTGCCCCCCACCCTCAGGTCTGCCTGTGCCCCCCACCCTCAGGTCTGCCTGTGCCCCCCACCCTCAGGTCTGCCTGTGCCCACCCGCACTCAGGTCTCCCTGTGCCCCCCACACTCAGGGCTGCCTGTGCCCACCCACACTCAGGTCTGCCTGTGCCCACCTGCAGTCTCGGCACTCAGAGCATTACAGTTTGATTCACATGGAGCCCGCTAAGCTCTTTCCCACACTGAAATGCCCTACCGGCCTCTCGGAGCGGCTCGGTGAGACGCGGGAAAGCTGTGACCTCCTTTCACAAGCGAAGATGGTATGTCTGAGAACACTGACTGCTCCAAAGTCAGGAACAACAGAACTGGTAGACCTCCCAGTCTACTGACTGCACTTTTCTCTACATGGAGCTTATGGGCAAAACTGAAAATTTATGCTGCTTGACAGGATATCTGAACAAACACCCAATAAATATTAGGGAGTAACGATCTGTTTAAAGGCTGTACAGAACATTAGCAGAGTATCTTAAACCAAAGATGAGGCTAGTTATTTTTGGAGTCTACTACAAAGCAGCCCATTTCCTACGCTATTCCAATACTCCCTTCAGCAGAGCACCGTCGGAGGGAGAAGAATGACAGGTCTGTTCTCCTACGAACCTGCAGGAGATTGGTAAGCAAGATGAGCGTCTGCTTGCGGATGAAGGGGTCTGAGTCCTTCAGACACATGGAGATATTGGGAATGTACTTGTCCACCATGACAGTGTACCGGATACAAAGGTCACACATGACAATGACCACGTTGTTGCGAACGGCCACGTCCTCGCACACCTCCAGCTCTCTCACCAGGGCCGGGATGCTCTTCTTTGCCAGATCCTCATGCTGTAAGCACAGCTTACCTATCACAGAAGAGAGTAAGTCATGCCTCTACTCTGTGCTAATCAGGCAGACGCCTGCACTTGTCCCCAGATATGTCGCAATGAGTTTTATTTAATCAAAGTTAAAGCATCATGTCAACAATCACAAGGAAATCAAACACAGCCTGGCCAGAGTGGCTCAGTGGTTGAGTGTTGACCTATGAACCAGGAGGTCAAGGCTCAATCCCCAGTGTGGGGCGTGCAGGAAGCAGCTGGTCAATGAGTCTCTCTCATCATTGATGTTTCTCTCTCTCTCTCCCCCTCTCCCTTCCTCTCTGAAATCAATAAAAATGTATTTTTAAAAAATCAAAGGTAGACAGACCCATATTAAATATTAGAAAATTCAAAATAGCTTAAGAAAAAACACCGCCCCCCAACCCCTCCGGATCTCATGAGATATATATTCCTTCACTATAGTAAAATTACCTTCCGTTTGTTTGGTTTTTTATTCATTTATTTATAAATCCTCATCCAAGGATACGCTCACCATCTTTTAGAGAGGGGAAAGGAGGTGGGGGGAGAGCAACATCAATCAGCTGCTACCCTTCTGTGCCTGACTGGGGCCAGGGATCAAACCCACAACCTACGTATGTGCCCTGGCCGGGAATCGAACCCGCAAACCTTGGGTGCATGGGACAATGCTCCAACCAATTGAGCCACACCAGCCTGGGCAAATTATCTTCCTTTTGAAGTCAACAGTTGAATTTTGGAGTTATCTACTTACCTGGAATATGACCAATAAAATGAATAATGAACTTGAAATTTGAGTTGGGTAATTACAAAAGAATGATAAAGTCACTTATTTTATTTCTTTTTCATCGGAGAAAGAAGGCTATTGTTGAATTTGTTTGTGGTGTGTGTGTGTGTGTGTGTGTGTGTGTTGTAGGGCCTGGGGAATGTTTTGCTCTTATTTATAATTCTTAGACGTGAAAAAAACACATTATTACAAAAAACATTCCTGACTCTTATCCAGCATCAAATACACAATCACACTAAAGAAAAAAAGAATCAATTTATAAACAGGGGTTCATGTTTTCAAGATTACCATTAATTTGAGTGCATGCTTTTAATAGCTCGTCTGCCAGTTCTGGAAAGTATCACATAAGCCATCTCCTTTTATAAACTAAACTGCACGTTTATTTTTTCATTCCTGGAACTCAGTGTATTGCGTGGCATGCAGTACTTGATGAAGAGACTTCAAGGTGCTACATTATGAGTATAAACAAGCAAGTCGCAGAAACAGGGTCATTGAAACAAATGAACATAAAAACAAAAGCTCCCTCCAGGGAGGGTCTTGAGTCTGATGTCTTAGGCAGCCTTGGGTGCTCCTACAGAATTGCCTCAAAGCTCTCAAGAGCTAGAGTAAGTATATGCTCAGCAGGTTACAACCCACTGCTGGCTTCCGTAAGACAAAAAGCTACCCAGGGAACTAGACCGCACAAGGGTACTGCCCCACAGGCCGCTCCGGCTCACCCAGGGTAATGATGGCGTGTGCTCTGATCACAGAAGGCATGACGGAGGAGCCTCTGACGGGGGCGAGCGGCTGGGAGGCCGGGGCGTCGCTGCTACCTTGAGAGGATGCTACTGCAAGGGAAGGAAAAGGGAGCTTATTTACAGCACTCCAGGGGCTAGCCCAGGCTTCAGACAGCATCCGCAAAGGGCAACTTTAAGTGCCTTACGGTGATCCGCATCCGCAGAGGAAGCTACAATGGACTGAATCAGAAGGAAGGCTCGCTTCTCCACTCTGGCTGGACAGAGTTGGGCTATATCTCCTAAGGTAAAAATATACTTCACCTGCGAAGAAAATTGGTTTTGCATAAAAATAAAGCAAAAATAAAAAATTGACCCTACCTATAGATTAAGGACATGTCGGTGGAGTACTATTTTTGTCCCCCACATTTAAAAGAACTATTTTTTTCATAGCCATTTCAGATGATTAAAAAAAAAATCCTCACCCGAGGACAGGCTTAGAGAGAGGAAGGGATCTCATAGGTTCTAACTGGAGGAAGCATATACCATCAAGTTTTCCCCAGATAACAAGTACGAGAAAAGAAAATGAATAGGTCATCAATAAAAATTCTTCTAAGAAAAGAGTAAGTTCTATGCTAGGAATATCCTTTTCTTGCTAATAGTAACAGAAATGCACATTACAAAGACATCTTTAAAAACCCTCAAATGATATAAAGAAATCCAGTGGTTGAGAAAAGTAGTTACTTACCAACAGGTCCTCATCCATATTCCCAGCTCCACCTTCCTTCAGAACGATGTTGGAGAGGCAGTGCACACAGGTGGAGAGGACATCCCCGCACACCTGATTCAGTAACTCCTAAGGCGAGTCAAAGGTCATTTCTGAAGGGTCTATACATCTACATCAGACTATTCAGGAAACACAGTTTTCTCAGGAAACTTTATGAGCTTCAAATGTATAAACCATAAGCCATGAAAGACCCAGGCATTGTGCTTTTATACCTCTGTTCTTTCAGCAATCTGGCAATTGGCAAAGTGAAATTTACAAAGAATTATACAGGGTGGGGCAAATGGAGGTTTAGAGTTGTTCTTATGAAAAATAATACAGTAATTAATAAATAATAACACAATAAAATGTGTTGTATACTCACACTATAACCCTGCTTTTGCCCCACCCTATATATGTATGTATGTATATATATAAAAATATATGTTATATATATAATTTTTCTTTCAATATTTGCCCTATAAGAGCAAAGAGCATGTGTTTGGGAAGATCTAGTGCACTAATTAAAAGAGATCTCTAATAGCAGTGCTCCTTCAATAATAAAAATACTGCAATTCTTCTGACATATGTAGATGGCGAATTAACACTGTAATAAACAGGCATAATAAAAACGAGTAGTTGTTATTCTCCTGAAATGTATTCGTCTGAGACTTTTTCCAGTGTCTCTTATTAGTTAAAATAACTTCAAAGAGGCACCACCTCTGGCCCACAGATCTAACTACACTAGCTAGGGAGGGAGTTTGATCCCACCCTACAACCCATTGGCTGTAGGCTCCGGGCAGCTTTGTGGACATGATACAATGAGATGTTAGGGTAATATAGCCTTATAGGAACTGGATAGACGTTTTCTAGGATTATGACTTAACGATGATCAGAAACCTTCTGGTCTGGAAGGAACCCCCCGACCAGGTGGGAAATCATATGAAGCATTCCTGAAATGAGGGTGGAGGTGAAGGAGGATATACAAAGCTATCCCAAGCATCTAGCCTACAGCTTATGAAAAGATAACCATGCAAGGTGTCCACCAAGGTACTGACTTTCTAAGAGAACTGTATGTCTTTAGCAGCCAAGACCTTCTTGGGAAATGTCGACTGCCGGTCACACCAAGTGTTTCCTTCTGTTGTGGTAATGGCTACTGGGATTACCCGTCCTTACAGGTTCTCTAAAGAGAACACCTTCTCAAACTTCAAAACAGAGTGACCTGCCTAGTGAGTACAAATAAATGACAAACGCATCCAGGAGAGTGTAGCCTACCCGCTCCTCCACAGGTGTCTCCGCAGATGCTCTGCAGAGTCTTTGCAACGTATCAACAGCGGAGCTGATCAGCTCTAGAGACCAGCGGAATCCACTCAGCTTACACTTGACAACATCTAAAAGGGAAGTCAGACCCTTGAAGTTTAACTGCTTAAAATATATACATATGAAGTGAGAGGCAATGCCTTTTCGAGATTCTCTGATGGACACTCACCGGTCACCTTGTCTCGGGTGCTCTTTGGGAGATGCTTTGCAATATGCCCAATAACACACAGAATATGGCCCAAGGTGTTTGAATTGGGATTCTGTTGACTAAGAAAAGGACAGAAGAAACATCAATACAGAGCCAAAGTAAACACTGCTGCCAACAAAGTACTTTCCTTCTGGATTATGAATACCAGGGTAGCCTGGTTTTGGATTCAAGTTGTAAGAGCATTAAGGCCCTTAGAGACTTGGACAAAGACTAAACTGAAAGCTTAAAAGTGATTCTTACTTTCATGTTTGTTTTTAAGCCTGAATTTAAAGAAAAGATCTGTGTATATGAACAGCTATAAGATAGCCCGTTTCCTTAAGGCATGAGCTTTATCTACAAGAATCTTCAGTGTACCCATCCGTGGCTCAGTTATAAGCATGCACACCTGCTGATCTCCTCCCAGGACTCTATTACTCTGGTGTAGTCGAGCTTGGGTGATGAGCAAGCAATCTTGGAGAGCAGCATCCAGGCTGGTGCAGAATGTTCCGTGCCAGTGTGGGATAGCATGTTGTTTATAAAAGCAGATGAGAATTTATCTTTCGTGGACCAGATATAAAAAGCCTTATTTAAATAGCGGCTGGAAAAAAAGATGGGAGAGCAGAATGGTAACTATAAATATATAAAACTGTTGAGATCAGCTCATTCAGTAAAAGGATATCAGCTGCTGCTGCTCCGGGATTCCTCTGGCACATTTGATACCAAACTAGGTATCTTTTTAATTTTTATTATATACAATAAGGTACATTTATTCCTGCCCTCATAAAGTATTTATTTTTAAAGCAAATAATAACATTTCATAAGATTTTGTTTATAAAAGTTAACAGAACTCTATTGAACTAGCCCTACGGTTGGTTCTCAATAATTCTATTTTTGTCATTGATTTTCTAGCTCAGTGGCACTCCCACTTTTTCATCTCAGGGCCCTTTTATTTATTTTATTTTTTAAATATATTTTATTGATTTTTTTACAGACAGGAAGGGAGAGGGATAGAGAGTTAGAAACATCGATGAGAGAGAAACATCGATCAGCTGCCTCTTGCACACCTCCTACTGGGGATGTGCCCGCAACCAAGGTACATGCCCTTGGCTGGAATCGAACCTGGGACCTTTTAGTCCGCAGGCTGACGTTCTATCCACTGAGCCAAACCGGTTAGGGCTCAGGGCCCTTTTAAATTCCTAAAAATTACTGTCCGCCTTGAAATGTTTTTGTTTGTTATATCAACATTTGCCATGCTAGGAATTAAGAATGAGAAATTTAAAAATATTTATCAATTCATTTAAAATAAGAATAAGCCAATTAATTTTATGTTAACATAAATAATGCATTGTTTTACAAAAACAACTATCTTTTTTAAACAAAATAACTTGGTCAGGAGAATGTTATTGTTTTACACTTTTGTAAATCTCTTTGCAGTCTGGCTGAAACAGGAGACAGGTGGACTCTCATTTCTGCCTCTGCACTCAATCTGTCCCAACACCACTGTATGGCTTCTGGAAAACTCTACTTTGAAAGAATAAATGTGGAAAATGCACAGAACATCTTAATATTATGATAAACACAGTTTGAGCTCATGAATTCATCACTTTGAGAACTGATGACCTCGTTCATTTCCTACAATGGCTATTCCAAAACTTCTTATACTTAAGCCCCTAATTCTACCCACTCTTTCCAAAATTTGGGCAAAAAAAAAATTTCCCCTCAATGATAGCAAAATGTACATAACATAAAATTTATCATCTTAACCATTTTTCAGTGTAATTCAGTATGCCCAATACTGAATTACACTTAAATACATGCCTTAAATACATTCACACTGTTGTGCAATCATCCATTTCTAGAACATTTTTTTTTAATCCCATGAAATTTTGTAGCTATTAAACATAACTCCCCATTATGCGCAACTGAGGTCTGTGCCCTTGGCCAGAATCAAACCCGGGACGCTTCATTCCACGGGCTGCGCTCTATCTACTGAGCCAAACCAGGTAGGGTGATTTTCAGTTAGAATTTTAATACCAAGCTTGCATGACCTTAAGAGATCACGTAACCCAACTGGCTGTTCTTACAAATTAGGAAACGAAGACCCAGAACACTAAGGTGATTTGCCAGGGCCACAACAGGATTTTATGACACTAAATCTATTATTCTTATTGCATAACTCCTTCATAACTACATGTAAACAAATAGGGAAGTGTTTCTGGTACAATTTTTAAAGAAAGGAAAGGAAAAGCAGTCAAGGTAGCACACGCACACACTAATTCTAGGACTCCTGCAGAACAGATTAAAGCTTATCACTCAGGCGCGCTACCCGCTCCCTGCAGTGCTCACTGTGCACTGGGCGTTCAACACATGTTGTCAAGTGGAAAAAATACCGCAGTGTCATTAAGTCAACCAGTCCGATAAAATGTCAGAAAAAGTCCAACTTGTAAAGACTGGGAGGTTATCTTTCAAAATAACTAGTATTGAGTTAGTTATTAATATACCATATCCGCAGTGTTTTCTATTACATACGTATTAAGATACCAAGTTAAAAGTGGAGGACACTCAGAGAAAAGCAAAGAAAGGGATCAAAGGCTTCACAAAAAACAGTCACCACAAAAATGCTGAGATTTGAATTAGGTCAAGAAAAAGAGACCAGTTCCAGTGCAGATGCAAGAAAAAAGGGTCCTCGCGCTTTCTGTCTGTGGCAGCCAAGATTGAATGGGGGAATACAGTGGAAAAAGAAAAAAAAAGAAAGAAAAGAAAAAGAAAAAAAAAAGAAAAGAAAAGGAGACCAAAATTGAGGCTTCAAATCTACCCAGGCATTTAGAAAGCTAGCTGTCCAAGATCAATACAGAACTTTCTTCAGAAAAGCCCTTAGAGCCTTCTCTAAGGAAAGGAAGGCGTAACGCACATACCTCAGCTCCTGGCTTTCTGTACTAAGGAGAGAAAGCAGTGCCCAAGCCAGCACCTGGCTGTCATCTCCACTGTGAAACTTATTGAAGTGCTTAATGTTCTGCAGCAGGACCTGGTCCAGGCATTCCAGGGCCTTTTCCTGCACGGTGCTCTCCGAGTCCATCACAACGGGGGTGATCCCCATCAGCCAGGCTTTCTGGATCTGGGCACATCTAGGGTGGGCCTTTAGGAGTTAAAATCAGGAAGTCACAAAGAGTCTAATGCTATTGGAAGTGTAACTACAAATCAGTGAAGTTGTGATCAATGTTTTGAGACATGTTAAAAGTAGTTGCACACACAACTACAAATCGATCATAAAAGAAAAAACAAACAAAAGCAAACCTACAGCCCAGCCAGCGAGGCTCAGTGGTTGAACATCAACCTATGAATCAGAAGGTCACGGTTCGATTCCTGGTCAGGGCACATGCCCGGGTTGCGGGCTTGATCCGCAGTGTGGGTTGTCAGGATGCAGCTAATCAATGATTCTCTCTCATCATTGATGTTCCTATCTCTCTCTCCCTCTCCCTTTAATAAGACAAACAAAAAACCCCCAAAATCCCACAATATTCAAACAATATGTAAAAACAAAGTTCAATCTGCAGTTATTGCAAATCAGTCCATCCTGAAATTTTAAACTTATAAAGTCATTATTTTGTTATTAGTAATAAATCAGCATTTTTTGGTAATTCAAGATCAAATAATAAATATTTATCCCAAGAAGTAATTAGAGTAAGTGCTACCAGATAAAGTAAAAATACATATTGCTTAATGCCTTCTATCACGAAACGAGAGAAAACCATGCTCTTAAAATTCTTTAAGAGCGAATTACTTGGCAGAAGTAAATTATATCTAGGATCACTGGTTCTGCTCTTTTAGCAATATCATCTATATAGGTTATAATGAACAAAAATCAAAGTAGGCCTCTGGCCTAACCAAATTAATTTTAAAATTCATATTTCTATGTGAGATATGAGTTTAAGTCAAGAAAGGCTAACCAGTAGCATTCTCTAGCATTAGTTCATAATTACATTTAATATGAAATGCAGTCTATCATATGTAAGTAAAAGATACTTCTTCCTTTCTCTTACACTGTATATTAGACTTGGTAGAGTTTCTACTGGTCAACTTCGTATTTAGCAACAAGCAATTATTACGCTGAATTGTTTTTTAATGTAAACACCATGCATTAGACACATAAGAAGAAGCCCCTCACCATAAGAAGTTCAGTAAGAGACTGCAAGGCCTGCTTCCGGACAGATACAGCAGGGTCCCGGCACTGCTCCTGAAGAATTGAAAGCTCCTCCTTCATGCCTGAGACGCTGCAGTGCTTCAAAATACTCACCAATACCTAGGAAGTGCACACACAACGTGAAGTGACGATGCATGCGTAGTATATGTGCAAACAGGCAAATACACACAAAAATACTTCCTTCAAGTTCTTGGTTCTTTACATCTTTAAGGTCAAAGATCCATCCCTCCAGTAGCATCCCACCTTTTAGAATACACACAAGTACTTTCAAACAATTTCAGTGGTTTTACAAACCCTATCAAAATCTGTCCATGGCCCTAAGCTAAGAATCCCTACTCTAAAAAATGACATTAAGGGTATAAATTCATGATTCTTAAAAAGCCAGCAACCCAGTAGGAAAGCTTAAAATCAGATAATCCTTAGTTCATTTCTACAATTTAGACATAACAGGATCAAGATGAACTAATGTTAAATGAAAAGCCAATTAAATAACAAATATGGCAGAGGGACCTGTAAAATATTCTCCTGCATTTCTGAGTGCTTAAAAAGAGAGCGCAATGCCCTTTCTGGTTTGGCTCAGTGGATAGAGCATCGGCCTGCAGACTGAAGGGTCCCAGGTTCAATTCCAGTCAAGGGCGCATGCCTGGGTTATGGGCTCCATCCCCAGTGGGGGGCATGCAGGAGGCAGCCGATCAATGATTCTCTCTCATCATTGATGTTTCAATCTCTCTCTCCCTCTCCCTTCCTCTCTGAAATCAATAAAAATTTATTTTTTTTTAAAAAGAGAGCGCATTAAAGAATGTCTGGAGAAACACACCTGGAGCGCAGACTTCCTCACGTTGATCTTCTCATCCCGGATTCTCTTTCTCAGCATGGCCATGACACACCTTTCTGCTGAGGATACGCCCGTCATTAGAGTCTGAGAAAGACTATACAGATCTGACATCTCACACACAATACCGACAAAATCTAAAAAAACTGACTAATTCGCTTGTTTCAAATCAGAGTATGAAATGAGGTAGAAATAAAAACATCTCAAATAATTAGCTATTCACAATAATGAAAAAGGCAAAGTTCATGTAAAAAACAAAGGGCAAAAATTCTGGAATATTAAAAAATCAGTTTTAAATCCTGGCTCCGATGCCTAAAATTTTAAATAAATTATCTAGATCTTCTATTTTGTTTAACTACAAGTAGAAGTATCACACATTTTGAGAACTGCTGATCCCCAAAAAAACAAATAAAAAATGAACTAGAGAATGGAAAACAATAGAGGAAATACATGAAATTAAAAAGTTCCTTGAAAAAGGTAACAAGATTAACAAACTTTTAGATAGACTAAGAAAATAAGAGAGAAGATTCAGATAGCTAAAATCAGGAACGAACAAGGGAACATTATTACCTACTTTACAATAATAAAAAAAATTGTAAAAGAATACTATGAACAATTTTATGTCAACAAATCAAGTAACCCAGGTGAAATGGACAAATTTCTACAATGATATAAAGTATGGAAACTGACTCAAGAAGAAATAGTCTGAATACACCCACAACAAGTACAGATATTGAATTAATAAAAAGCTTCCCACATGTGCATAAAAGTCCAGGCATTACTGAAGAATCCTACCAAATGTGAAAACAAAAATTAACACCAATTTATATGCACACATATCTGCCTCTCCCGTTGCTCCTTAAGAAATGAAACTTTATTTTCTTAAAGTCTGTATCTACAATGCCTAGCACAGACAGAAGGGACCATATAAAAGTTTTTAAAATAAACAAATAAATCTAATTATATAATTAATCCTTTACACACATTCCCTCTCTTTTCTCTCTCATCTATTTATCCATCTTTTAAAACCACTTCTCTAAACCTTATTTCTATAGACTCTGACAACAGCCCCCTGTGAAAGGTAGGGAAGGGTTAGGATCAGAACGTGTGTGACAGGAGTTGTGTTAACTTCCATGTTTTAGGTCATGCAGCTATTTAGAAACAAAACTGTACAAGAATTCAGACGGCGTCTCATTTCTGATAGTGTTTAGCGTTTTCTCCGCTATTTTATGATGTCATGTTACAGATGAAAAAGGCGCCCAAGACCTTACAGCCAGACAGAAACAGAATTCGAGTGGGCTCCACGTCTACCCACTGCCTAGTACAGGTTTGTTTTTCCCCTGAATCACATTGAGACTCACACCATCCCAGATTCAATACGTCAGGGAAAGTGATCAGGTACCACTTATGTTCAGAATCTTGTGTTGGAGTCCGCGGAGGACCCCATAATCACTCTGTACGATATGTACGACCCATTGAAAAATGGCTCCTTCTGTTGGTGAAGGGAAATTATAATCTAAATTCCAAATTGCCTTTTTCAGTGGAAGCTGGGATTCACAGTTCCCTACTATGTATTAAAAGTAACTTTTGGGATGAGTCAAGAAGACATGGTAAACAAAGTAACAAGGAATGAAAAATGGGAACAAGACTGGGTCCCACAGTATTATTCACCTATTCCCCTTTTTTTGTGACGACTTTTCTCCAAACACAAATTTAATATCTACTGCACTTTCCCTAGTAACTGGTCCTTTTTTTTGGTCAGTAATTCCACCAGTTCACAACAGTTGATTTAAATAAGAAAAGAAAATACCTGCTAATATTCTCTTAAGTGTTAAAGAAAGATTGGTATTGGTGTTCAGTACATGTAGGTGGAATGTAGCTTATTCTTTATCTTAGAATTAAATATAGTCTAGTGCAAGGACATCAAGTAAAGATATAATAAAATAGAAATTACTCCACTTTTAAGGAAAAGAGATGCTCCGATTCTTCAGGTGAATTAATCAGAAAAAATCCAAGGTTTTTAGACTCTACTTATGGTCATTACGCATTTGGTTGTGATAAAATCTGACATACCCCTAGATCCAATTGTTTCACCACTGCTGTCTGTATTGGTCACCCCTGAGTCTCCAGGGTTCAGTGTCTGCTTCTGACAGGAAAAAGCTTAAAAAGAATAAATTAGAAAAAGGGCTGTCATTAAGGTAAAAATTTATTACACTTTTAATAATGCAAGCATGGCATATTACACATTTAAGTTACCACATCATTATTGAAGTGAATCTCAATTTCTTTGATGAAGGAAAAAAGTGCAATATGAAAATAGAAAAATATAGAGATAGAAAAAAAAACCACATTTCAAAAATCCAGCTAGTCCTTTAAATAAAAAGGCAGTTATTCAATATTTGGAACTATATTGACCCATTACCTGATGAATTTCTCAGGAAAGTACCAGGATGGCTCTCTATTCCTAAAATGGTAGGACCTAAAAATAAGCAGAGAGATAAGAGGAAAAAAGCCAGAGTATCATAAACCCTAAGTAAATATTCACAGAGGAATCAAAAATAATTAAGCCTGAACAGAAGGCCGACTCTAAACTGCTAACAATTAATAATGTTCTCCTTGGGAACGCATTTGAAATGGATATTAGCGCCCATACAGCCATACCCAATAATGCACAGCAGTAGTGAAGGCAACCACCAGTCTCACCTCTAAAAAAGGCCTTTCAAATGCCTCAGGCCTGTCTAAAAAGTTACTCAACAATACAATATACTGAAATACGTTTATAAGAATGAAAGTATATCATACCATATCAACTATTTTTGCCACAACAAAAAATGATTCCCCTGAAGTCCAATTTTTTTTCTTTATTGATTAAGGTATTACATATGTGTCCTTATCCCCCCTTTGCCCCCC